AGATTCCACCTTAACCAGAAATTAAATGTCTTGACTCTGAGCCAAGCCCGTATATGCACTAATGGAAGATCACTTTCCAACCTCAGGGAGGCATTTGGAACACAGCCAGGTATGGCCAATATTTGCCTGAGAAACTTAGACTGCACAATTTCAATTTTAAATTTGTATTGGCCCAGATTAGAATTGCATACAGGAACTGAGCTAACAACTTGGCTCTGTAAACTTCCAGTGCTGCTGGTATGAAATTGTGACCCTTAGCGTAGAAAAACTTTCCCTGAATTTTTATAGTACGTGAAGCTTTTCCTGCAACATATTCTTGTTGAGCTACCCATGTTCCCGATGTCTGAAAGATCACACCTAGATATTTGAAGACTCTAAACTGTTTGATTGGTCACCCATCCAAGGACCATTTACAGAGTCTGAAACGTTTTGAAAATACCATAACTTTGGTCTTGCTGTAATTCACCTGTAAGTGTAACTTTTGGCAGGAGCTGGAAAACGCCCTTAGTTGTCTTTTGAGACCCCCTTTTGTTTGAGACAGCAGTACTGCATCGTCTGTATATAGTAGAACTGAAATGGGTTTAGTTGCCAATTTAGGGGCATGAAACAATGGGGATGACAAGTGCTCAACAATAACATTCACATATAAATTAAACAGGATTGGAGCTAAAACACAGCTTTATTTAACCCCTTTTGTAGATGACATGTGATCTGTTAAATGCCCATTCGTGGTACAGCATACCCTCAACTAGGTAATATTATAAAGACATTTAATTTAAAAGAGAAGTCTTTTATTTATAGTTGTGGAGGCTAATTTTTTCCATAGTCATACAGGAGGTATGGAATAGAACATTGCCTTAAGGTCGATAAATGCTGTGTTCAACATGCATCCTTTCTTCTTTTTTCAGTATTTATCAATTTTGTTGTTTAGTCGTTAAATCGTATCTGACTCTTTGTGACCCCATGGACCAGAGCATGCCAGGCCCTCCTGTCTTCCACTGCCTCCTGGAGCTGGGTCAAATTCATGTTGGTAGCTTCAATGACACTGTCCAACCATCTCGTCCTCTGTCGTCCCCTTCTCCTCGTGCCTTCACACTTTCCCAACATCAGTCTTTTCCAGGGAGTCTTCTCTTCTCATAAGATGGCCAAAGTATTGGAGCCTCAGCTTCAGGATCTGTCCTTCCAGTGAGCACTCAGGGTTGATTTCCTTTAGAATGGATAGGTTTCTTCTTGTAGTCCAGGGGACTCTCAAGAGCCTCCTCCAGCACCACAATTCAAAACCATCAATTCTTTGGCAGTCAGCCTTCTTTATGGTCCAGCGCTCACTTCTGTACATCGCTACTTGGAAAACTATAGCTTTGACTATGAGGACTTTTGTTGACAAGGTGATGTCAGCTTTTAACATGCTGTCTAGGTTTGTCATTGCTTTCCTCCCAAGAAGCAGGAGTCTTTTAATTTCATGGCTGCTGTCACCATCTGCAGTGATCATGGCGCCCAAAAATAAAGTCTGTCACTGCCTCCATATCTTCCCCACCCTAAATGGTTTAGGACCTTGATATCTAGCAGAACACCTTCTCCCACCTAGATTTACTTGAGTCACTCGCTATTGCCAGGAAAGATGGCTGAAGGGCCTAACGCCGAGAGCGGCCTGGAAAGAAAGAACTAGAAACTGGACCTTCTCGGCAGTGGCCCCTCAACTTTGGAACAGTCTGCCACCAGAGATCCACCTGGCACCTTCGCTGTGTGTTTCTGAGTCAATTAAAGAATTGTCTCTTTAGGTAGGCCTTCCCTCCTGTCAATACTTGACTTTTATTTGTTACTTAGTCTTTTGTTTATATTTTCCCATCTTGAGTAATACTTTATTGTCGATTTAATTGTTGTTTTAACTGTTTTATGAATAATTTTATTGTAAGCCGCCCTGAGTACACATTGTCTAGAAGGGTGGGATAAAAATCTAATAAACAAACAAACAAACAAACAAATAAAAGGAATCAGGTTTCATGGAGGGAGGGGCATTTGTCTGTTGCAGTTCATCACATGGGATCTCAAATTGTTACCATGCTGGAGTAAAACTCTAAATCCAGAAATTTAAATGTTCCATGTATTGAACTATCTGGTGGGGCAGGCTAGCCATGCACCTGCTCCTTGGAGGCCTCAGTGCAGTGAAAGTAAAAGAATGAAAAAGTAAATGAAAAAGTAAAAGATTTTCTTTTACTTTAGGCTTTCTGGTATTCCTTCCCTTTGAATCTGTACTTCTGGGAGTTCTCGGTCCACATACTGCTGAAGCCTACCTTGGAGGATTTGGAGCATTCTTTGGCATTGCCCTCCTTTGGGATTGTGATGTAGACTTATCTTTTCGAATCCTCTGGCCACTGTTGAGTTTTCCAAACTTGCTGGCATATTGAGTGTACCACCTTAACAGCATCATCTTTTAAAGGTTCAAAGGTGGCTTACATTTTTTTTGTTATAAGCTAAATAATAAAATATTGCAATATTTAAAAGCATTAAACAGATATATTAAAACTCATACATAAGAGCAACATTAAAAATTCAAATATAACTACAGAATAAAATAATCCTTTTACGAAGTATGGTGACCTTATAAATGAGTGATGATCATTCATTTGATAGTCATTGATTTGATGGTGCATGAAGAAGAAGAAGGAGAAGGAGAAGGAGAAGGAGAAGGAGAAGGAGAAGGAGAAGAAGAAGGAGAAGGAGAAGAATGGATGATAGAAACTCCTACCACTAACAGCCCTGTTCAGGTTTTGCCAATATAAGTTACCACAGTATTTGGGTCAGACCTCCATGATAGCCACTTGGCCACTCTACCTTCTGGAGCCTGAGATAGGGACACTCAAAGAAGCAGTAAGGGGAAAATGGTCCATCAAGTCCAATGAGGACTAGTTTCCTGCTCTGAACATGTCAGTTACTCTTCTAGCAGTGTTTCCAAGCAGTTTAACTCAAAAAGGTATGTTGCCACCACCCCATTTACCATGTACCACCGATCCAGGAGCATAGAAAGGTAAGACACTGGATTCAGTACCTCAAATCATTTGTGGCTCAAAATCCGATCAACAGCTGCAAAAGATTTTATGTATTTTACTAAAAAGAAAACAACAAAAGAGTTACGAAAAAATATATGAAAATCCCACTCAGTTACTCAAAATGTGCTTCTCAGTAGAATGCAGCCAAAATACAGAGAAGGTTCAAGACAATTCTCAAAAATAGTTCACATCAGAAAATAAGAAATAACTTATTATTGGGAATTCTCCAACGTAAATAAAAATGCATTTCTCTCTGTGAAAGCGGGGAAAAAATTCCAAAATCAAAATATTACTATTCGAAGTGACAGTGAGCTACAATAGGCAGATAGGCTGCTAGCTGGCCTTGGATACCTTGCCTATCTTGGTTTTTGTCGTTGATCACTTACGTTGGTCACCCCCATCCCCCCAGGAATTTTTGTGTTTGTTTTTATTTTCTGTCCACCACTCATAAAAGCCAGCTCCAGGAGCTTCTGAATTCAAGTTTTGATTTCATCCTGTTTTATCCTGAATAGATTCCTTGGAACATTGAACATGTTTCCTGCTACTTTTCTACAAGCATCCTGTGTGGTTATTCCTAATTAAGGACAATAAGGTCACCTCTGTAGCCTGCAGCACATTTCTAACTTAACTACCACAGTTTTGTACGTGGCCAGCTTTTAAAACAATATCAAAGTATCAACTCTGTGACTTTAAAAGCCAAGGCAAAACATGGGTGTTTATTCAGGCCTTCCCTCCAGTCAATACTTGATTCTCTCTTCTCATTTCTCTTTAATTTATTTTTACTCCATTTTCTTGGTTTCCACATTTTCATTTGTAGATTTATGTAACTATGTATTTTTATTAATTGTTTGCATTATACTGGAAGCCGCTCAGAGTGGTCGTATAGACCAGATGGGCGGGATACAAATTAAATCAAATCAAATCAATCCATCAATCAATCAATCAATTAATCGATCAATCAGTCAATCAAATACAGTAAAACATCCACTAATTCCATCTTTCTCTTTGGTCAGCCCAGGATGTTGTTATTTGTGCATTTTGAACAAAAAAAGTTGTACAATACAATTTCAATTCAATTCTTATAAGACTCTTTGATATATACTGCACATATTAAACTTTACTGTTTTTGGAATTTTTATTTATGGTCATGAAGGTTTTGAAGATGTTGTTTTATTGGTTTGTAATTGACTTCATGCATTGATCCTATGTTTAAATGGCCTTTGGCTTAAAATTAAATAAAATTGAATTGAAAAAAAAAACAATACAGTATGACTGTGAACAACAGTAGGATGGTGTGGAAACAGAGGAGGTGGAAAGTATGGAAGTTGCGTTTTTTTTCTTCAGGTTATGCTGTGGAGTGCAACTCTAGGCTGAAGAAAGAACTGGAAATCAGGAACAAACTCCAGTTTCATCCTCCCCACTTCCTGCCAGTCTACACTCTGTCTGTTCAATAGGTTTGACAGATGTCACAGAGATGGTGAGATGAAGGAATGGAAACTTCTGCTTCCCTCCATGGATGTAATTCCTTCCCTTGGGCTGAGGACGGCAAGCAGGAAGGGGCTACTCCAGCCTGATCCTTTGGAAGCGATTTCCTGTCAGTCATGGACTGTTTTCCAGGACAGATCGTGAAGCTGAGGTTCCAATACTTTGGCCATCTCATGGCTCCACACTTTCAGATGTAAGATATAACATGGCTTTGTAGGGAGGTGAACTGAGCACTGAGAGGGAAAAGCCCTATACACTGAATATAAAATATTTCTTAACTTCCAGAATGAGGAGTGATCATTTTATGCCCTTATCCTGCTAGCTGGTGCTGTGTTATCTGTCACATGATTTTGCTTTAGCACATAGGTGACCTTTGTTTTCTTGATAATTCCCATGCCAAAGGATGGCAAAGGTTATTTAGGGTGGTTCGTTATGAAATGCAAGAGTACCTGCATACACCCAGACTATCGTTTCACACTTCCTGTATCATCATTACTCAAGCAGAGAAAAGCTGGAGCAGAATGTCTGTGAAATGGATGCTGGTGTTTCCTTTGCTTCTAGTATTCTTTGTGGGCTCAACTTCTACTGGGAATGTTCTTGTTTGGCCTGTTGACTTCAGCCATTGGCTCAATATGAAAGCTATCCTGGATGAACTGATAGCCAGGGGCCACCAAGTGACGGTGTTAGTGCCTTCATCCTTCCTGATAATGAACTTCAGTGAGCCTTCCCGATTTCAAGTGGAAGTGATCTCTGTTCCAATCGAAAAAGAGGATATGGAAACAATACTTCAGGATTTCGTACGTATATGGGCTTATGAGAGGCATGAGCTTTCTTTTTGGAGATTTTTCATGAAGATTTTTGACCTTATGAAAGAACTGCTGCACAGAAACAGAATTATATGTGACACGGTTCTGTTGAACGAGAAACTATTGAAGAAGTTGGAATCAGCTCATTTTAATATTCTCATTTCAGACCCAGTCTTAGCTTGTGGGGAGCTGGTGGCTGAGAAGCTCCACCTTCCGTTTATATATTCCTTCCGATTATCCAGTGGGAACACCCTGGAGCGTCTTTGTGGTGGTATCCCATCTCCTCCGTCCTATGTGCCTGCCAGTCTGGGAGGGCTAACGGACCGGATGACCTTCCTGCAGAGGATGGGGAACATGCTCTTTTACCTCTCACAAGACATTGTGTTCCAGCATGTTCTTTTTAAACAATGGGATACTTTCTATAGTGAAGTTCTAGGTAAGAACCTACTCCTTGTTGCAGTTGTGATGTTTCTTGCGTTCACAGTCATTTTCCTATCTGTCCTATGATTTTGATATTTGTGATCAATGGGAGTTTAGCGGTGATCAGGGGCAGACAATTTGTTCAGGTGGGTGGGAAATTGGGTGTGAAGGGGCAAGCAAGTGGGCAGGTGGGGGGTGAAAGGTTCAAGAATTTATTTGTTTGTTTGTTTGTTTGTTTGTTTGTTTGATTGATTGATTGATTGATTGATTGATTGATTGATTTGATTTGATTTATACCCCGCCTATCTGGTCCGAGAGGACCACTCTAGGCAGCTAACAACCATAAAAATAATACAAGACAATGTAAATAGACAATTCTAAGAGATAAAAACACTACATTAAATCACATAATACGTAAGACAGAACAAAAAGAAAGAGAAGAGGGGGATCAAGAGGTGTATGACGGAAAGGCCTGCTGGAACTGTCTTTAATTTAATTGCTTCTTGAAGATACCCAGCGAGGGAGACCCGCGAATCACAGGAGCCGAGCCACTCTGGGTGGTTTACAACAAGTAAGATAAAACAACAAAGTAGCAAAATAGCAAATAACAACATCAGTACGTCAGAGTCATAAAATGCAGTGAGGATAAAATTGCAATACAATAAATACAATTAAAAGCGTAGAAAAGTATAAAACCATGGAACATGGCAGTATGATAGATGTTATACTATTGGGTACTATTGTATTAGGGTGTTGTTTGTTTAGGGAAGGCTGCTCTAAATAGCCAGTTTTCTAGTAGCTTTTGGTTGTTAAGTCATGTCGGACTCTTTGTGACCCCACGGTCCAGAGCATGCCAGACCCTCCTGTCTTCCACTGCCTCCCGGAGTTGTGAAATTTTGGGTGGCTTGCCATAGTAGCCAGAATAGATAGCAAAACTTAGACATTGGTCTTATACTGTTATATTTGTAGTTTTATTGCTTTTTGTTTATTGTGATTTGGCTTTTTGCAGTATATGTCAGTACTTGAAGCTCTGCATTCAGTTTTGTTTTATGTATGGCTTGATGCTGTAACAATAAAGAGCCTCGTGGCGCAGTGGTTAAAACGCTGTACTGCAGCTAAAAACTGTGCTCACGACCTGGGGTTCAAATCGCAGGTAGCCGGCTCAAGGTTGACTCAGCCTTCTATCCTTCCGAGGTCGGTAAAATGAGTACCCAGCTTGCTGGGGGGGCAATGTGTAGCCTGTATAATTAAATTGTAAACCGCCCGGAGAGTGCTTGTAGCGCTATGGGGCGGTATATAAGTCCAATAAATAAATATATAAATAAACAAATAAATATACGTATCCTGTCTAATTCTAAATATTTTTGCATATTGAAAATATAATGTAGTGGCCATGTGTTGGATATTAGAAATATGAACTGAACATGTTGTCACTATTACACACATAAATTCTTTTACTAAGAGATTTCTTTTTCAGCTAAGGGTTGTTTTTTCTCCAGAGAAGGCTTCTCCCCCTCCCATTCAAACTTTATGCAACAGCAACTTCCGATTTGCCTGTGAATGAAAACTCATCCAGGATCTGCTGCTAATTCTCTGATGTGTGATATAGATATTTGTGAAGCCATTAAGTATTCCTGCTGTTCTGGATCACAACTCCTTTTTATTTCAAAAAATACGGTATATATTATAGCACTGAAAACTTAATAAATGAATCAATTTTCACTTTTGGAAATAGGTTTTTCTTGTGCAAAAGAGAATCAAGTTGAATTTAATCCTCTTCATTTGTAGGGAGGCCCACAACCTTGTGTGAAACCATGGGTAAAGCAGAGATGTGGCTAATCCGAACCTACTGGGACTTTGAATTTCCACGGCCTCTTCTGCCAAATTTTGAATTTGTAGGAGGGTTGCACTGCCAGCCAGCAAAACCTTTGCCTGAGGTAATTTTCTGCAATTCACCTGGTAATGATCAAGTCAGCCATTTCATGTATTCAATTCTTTTTTTAAAAAAAAAACCCTCCAGCTTATGACTGTAGGACATTGTGCATCTATATCTATGATTCCAAAGGCAAGAAATGGTCTAATATGGCTGCACAATATTGTACCCATGTTGCCTGAAGGAAAAGGATGCCAAACTTTTCATGACACAGGGTAGCCTGAATGTTTCCAACACCAATGGCAGCAGTCAAGATGGTCCACAAGATATCTTCTTCTGTTCACTACCATTCACATATGTTGAAAAACAGCCCTGCGTCATTTTCTGGGATTTTCTCTTGTGTGGTGTCACTTTGTGAATGGTGACAAAGGGTGTCCTAAAAACATAATGACAAGAGATGGGCGTGGATCAAAAAACAAACCAGGAAGTTCATCAAAAGTCATTGTTTCATTGGTTTGGGTCAGTGTCTGCCTGTCTGTTTGTTTAAAATATTTATATCACACCTTTCTCCTTAAAAAGCAACAAACGGAAACAAACTGAACCGATGAACTTCTAAAGTGATTTTTGGTGTGTTTGATTCATTAGCCCATTTTCTCCACCCTCAAATCGAGGAAGAACCTAGAGATTACTGGATTGGCAAGTCAAGCAGCCAAACACATGGCTCGAAGGGCTGTGGGGAGTTGCTTGTTCTTATGTATAAAACCAATTTACAGGAACCATTTTTACCTCAGAGCTACTTCTGCTTGTCAGAGCAACCCTTCTACATCAGAACCAGGTTAGCTCAGATCTCCAGTGGCACATTACTTCCCTTGTGGGGAAGCCTCTCTATCTTCCCTCTTCCTGCTGACCACACAACAGTCTCTATACCTCAGAGGGTCCATGGGGTTTGGGGAAAGGGCGTTGTCCCTCCCCAGTCCACCTCCTGATGAGCAAAAACCCGTGTCAAATTCCCTGGCATGAACTGGGAATCTGGGCAAAGAATTGTGGACCATGACAAGCTGCCCCATGATGTAAGTGTGAGGCAGGAAGGGTGGAGGAGGGGGAGTATGTGGGAGGGGTCAGCTATACCAGTTGTGGTTGCCAGGAGAAACAGCCAGATGCCGCCACAAGAGCTATGCCTTCTTACCTCAAAGCCCCCAGTAGAGGACCTGGTAGTGAACCCACACTCCTCTATGTTGTCCTCTGTCCCTTTCCTCTCTTGAATCTTTCGCTCAGTCTCAGAGTTTCCTCACAAAAAAACCTTCCTCAGAATTTCCTTTTCTTTCTATGAAGAAAAAGGGCTGTGCTCGAGCCACACTGGTTATTCTTTATATGGTTGCAGAGAAATCGTAAATACTCTAGACAGCATAGCTAAGAACATGGCTATCTCTTTCATATTCGCTGTCATTCAACCGTTAGCTCTCAAATGGGGCAGAAATGAAAAAAATTCCAGAGTGTGGAACAACTTTGTTGTTAATAATTACAAGTTAGAATCTTATTCTACATTTTCACCATTGTTAACTTACTTCATCAGTACAATTTTCAGTAGTGACTTACCACAAGTAAGCTGGATTTGTCCTGCTATTTGTTCTGTGGATGAGTTATTCTTCTCTTTTTCCTGGTGACAACTCAAGTGCCAGCATGAACCATCCTGTCCACAGAGCATTCTTGCCCACAACATCTGGGATCCCTGTCAGGGACTCCTCTTTTAAAGGTGTGGGCAGAATGCCTGCACTTTGGTTTGGTTCTATCACATGTGATCTGCTGAACTAAACCAAAGCAGATGGCATGTGGTTTTGAATTTCCCGTCCGTTTTCAATTTCTTACTATTATTAAGTGGCTTGACCATAAAACTTGGCCACTTACTGATACTGGGAAATTAAAAGCTTCCTCTGTATAGGAGGAAAGGGAGGAAATACATGTTTTTCTTAGAGCCCACTAGGGCAGCAATGACACACTGTACCTCATAGTTTTTTTAAAAGGTTTTTTTCTGGTCAACCAAAACCTTATCACAATAACCCATGTATACATTTCCAGCAGCAAACCACGTTATGATCAGCAATGACACACTGTACCTCATAGTTTTTTTAAAAGGTTTTTTTCTGGTCAACCAAAACCTTATCACAATAACCCATGTATACATTTCCAGCAGCAAACCACGTTATGATCAGTCACTCACCTCTCTTTCTGTCTTTCAACAGGAGATAGAGAAATTTGTCCAAAGTTCAGGAGAACATGGTATTGTGGTGTTTTCTCTAGGCTCAGTTATTAAAACCTTAACAGATGAAAAGAGCCAAAAAAATGCTCTGGCACTTAGCCAGCAAGAAAAAAAATCACATCTGTTTTATTTTATGCAAGATTCTTTAAGTCTGTGCCTAACTGACCAAACTGAAAAAGATAGGCGACTCACTGGCTGAAATCTGTTGCTGTGTGTTAAGAAGTCTTTACAGACACTATCTGTTGCATAATAAGTACAATAGATGATGTTTATTCAGATTTCTTAACTTATGGAAACTCTTTGCCAAAATGTTTTAAGCTTTTGCCCAACACAATTCTGGCGAATGTCTCACACCTAGTTTCTTCATATTAAATAGCATTTTCATACTCTGATAGAGAAAGGGCCCTTTAAAATTTTTGCAAGCAAAATAGAAATAAAAAGTAGAAAAAGACGTGGTGGCATCTCAAAGACTAATTTTTATATCTTTTTAATATAATGTGAGCTTTCGTAGACATGCCTAGTTCCTCAAACAAATTTGTGTTTCCTTAAAATGTAAAACAATTTGCATAATTTAAAATGGTATCAATATTATTCTTAGTCTAGTAATATTTAATCCTTTAAAATACTGATACCTCAATCCTTTGTTCCTTGAATATACAGTGGTGCCCCGTATAACGAGCGATTCATTTAATGATGAATCCGCATAGCAATGTGTTTTTTGCGATCGCAAAAGCGATTGCATTGCAATGTTTTTAATGGCAAAAAATCACTTTGCGATGATCGGTAAGCTGTTTTGCTTACCGATTTTCGCATAGCAATGTTTTAAAAACAGCCGATCGGCGGTTCCAAAATGGCCGCCTGGTGTATTTTCGCGCCGATTCCTCGCTTACTGGGCAATGAAAATGGTGGCCGTATGGAGGATTTGTGCATAACGGTGAGTTTTAAGCCCATAGGAATGCATTGAAGGGGTTTCAATGCATTCCTATGGGCTTTTTTGTTTCGGATAGCGACGAATCAGGATAGCGATGATTTTTCTGGAATGGATTATCGTCGCTATGCGGGGCACCACTGTACTCATTCTGAATATTATCAGTAAGTAGTTTATTCATACACTATAAACCCATTTCCCTAAATATGGGAAGAGGTGGTCACATTGTCATAAAGTCAACATTCCTACAAGATCAAAAGATAGATGGGCAGATACATATGTGCACATGTGCCTTGAATTCCAGTGTTGGACATGCAATGAATATTTTACATGAAGTTTGAAAGAAGTGAATAATTCTTTCCTTGCCAGACCATAAAGAAGAAAAAGAAAGCAATAATAAAAGAGGTAAGAGAGAGATAGAAAAGAAGTTGGACAGTTTTTGAACAGAACAGTGTTAGTTGGAAGACAGGATGTAAGACAGGGCTCTAAAATATTAAATAGATGTGGAGCTTCAGTTTGTTTTCCACTTTGTATCAGTACATCTTTGAATGCTTCAAATAAAAATTGGTTCAGTTTTTGCTATAAATTAACAGGTCTAATAAAGAAAAAAAATTACTACGTCTGTTTTATTTTATGCAAGATTCTTTATGTCTGTGCCAAACTGACCAAACTGAAATGAATGGGAATTGAATCTGCTAATTGTGCAACTTCAAATGCATCATGCTCAGTGTTTTTAGTTCTTTTAACTTCTTCCTTCAGTTCTTCCTAATGTTGATAAGGAAGAACCTTAGAGCCAAATGGCTAAAGTTGCACTCAAAATGGTTGCTATATTAGCTTGCACATTTATTTATTTATTTGGGTGGAAAGGTAGAACATAATTTTAATAAATAAACATGGAGGATAACATTTGGATGCAACTCTATATATATTTAATGATTGAGAAAGAACTTGTCTAAGTACCGACCAATAATGTGCAGATAAATAATCCTGTTAGAACACACAGCAGTTAAAGAACCTCCAAAAATAAATATGATTGTGAAGTTGAGCAAAATAAACAGGAGGCCTTGTACCTTTAACATTCTTCCCCGTGTTTTCTTCTTTTCAGGTTATTTGGCGGTATAAAGGGAAAAGGCCAGAAAAACTGGGAGCCAATACTAGGGTTTATGACTGGATTCCACAAAATGATCTTCTTGGTGAGAGACATTCTCCTACAGCAAGAACTTAAGTTCACCGATGTTCAAATGTGGGAGAAGGAAAAACTGTCAGATTTGCTTAAGTGTAAAAAAAATGCCTTCAATCTGTTCCTCCTGTTGACCCCTTGACTGCCACCAACTTCTGTTTTCATTGGCCTCCCAGGACGTGCGCTTCCTAGAATCTCTGGGCTGCTCTAGCCATTCTAGCCTCAATGATTCAAAGTGTTGGTAATGCAAAAACAAAAAAACAAACCACCATTCAGTTGTCAGTGTTGAGCCTAGAATTAATATATGTACTAATTCTGTTTCCATTTTTTTTTTTGGGGGGGGGGAAGGTATGAACTTGGAATGACCTATGGAAAGTGGAATATAGATAATGGAAAGTGGAATATAGATAATAGACCTCTATTTTATGAAGCACTTTCTGTGATCATTCAAGATCAAAAGTTTACTTTCAGGAACTTTCTAGATCAATCAAGCAGAACCCTTTATTGGCACATACATAACAGTTGCATATACAAAATAACAAACAGACTTGTAGTTATCTAGATCTACAAATTCATTAAATCTCAGTCTGCTGCTCCTCACTATCTGATTCAAAAAGGCCACCATGTTCTCCACTTTGGCTGACATTCCTGTTGAGAGGATATAACTCCATGTTGTCACAATCCCAATGCCCCCTCTTCTTTGACATACGTGGGTCTTCTACCAGGATCTGTATAGAATGGACAATACAGAATCATGTGAGAGAGTGACTCCACTCCACCTGGCTCACAGCAGCAACACCTCTCGCTGTATGGGATCCCATTGAATCTTCCATACACCAGTGCCGATAGAATGATGCTGCATGTGGGAAGGGTCAAGGCCCTGTGTTCCTGGGGGCATTTTAGCAGGTAAAGGTATGGTACTGGTTGGCCAACTTTAATGGGAAGCTGCAGACTGAACAGTGAACTGATCTTGTTCACAGCACTCTGCAGTTCCTGTATAATAGCCTACATTTTATCCCTCAATATATTTCTGATTGGGACATCAAATCCAAGGTGTCTATTGCAGTGTCCCTCAGTCTTATTTTCTTTCCCAAATTAGATGATTCTATGGGGGCAATTGTTTCCTCTAAAAGTCAGTAGACAGTCCTGAACCAAGTTACAGTAGACTCTTAGGCAAAATTTTATTGATCTCAATCACATCCAGGTTTCTATCAAGAGTTCGCCCTCTTCTAAACACAGAGTTTAGATCTTTAAAATTTATATGTCAATTATATCTATATATCTATATCTATATCTATATCATATCGATCGATCGATAGATCGATAGATCGATAGATAGAATAGTAATCACATTTTTCATCATCCAATTTTAGGGCATCCCAAGACGAAAGCCTTTATAACACATGGTGGAACAAATGGGGTTTATGAGGCAATTCACCATGGAATTCCCATGGTTGGGATCCCCATGTTTGCTGACCAGCCTGATAACATTGGCCACATGAAGGCAAAGGGAATGGCTGTTGAGCTGAATATCCACACAATGACGGCGAAAGATTTGGTAGATGCTGTGAATACTGTCATTCACAATGCCACGTAAGTCGATTCCCCATTCCCCTCTGGAAGTGCAATATCAATCTTTTTATTTCATATCTAGATGCACCAAGGAGCTCTGGAGAAAGAAAACATGGCTCAGGACTCTTCACAACTCAGAACTTGTGGGGGGAGACAATGTGTAGCCTTCTATTAGATTTCGTGCATTAATTTTTATTTTTTCTTTGCTTCAACCTAGCATCTTCTACCTTGAGTCTTGCCCTAGACCTTTAAACTGAATTCATATTTAGTTCAGCTATATTCCCCCCCAAAACTGCAAAGCTTTGTACAATTATGGCTATTACACGGAGCCTTTGGTTTTAATGAAGTTATCATTGAGTCATTCGGATTTTCACAGCAAAGAAATGAGTAACATAATTAGTTTTCAGCCACATCTGGTGTTGTTGAACTGCAACGGCTTCTCACTACTTGACAGGATGGCTACAGCTGGTGACCACGGGGAGTCCATCATTTGGATGTTTGTGTGCTCCCAGCCATGCTCATGACAATGGCCTTGGGATTTTTCCTAAGTATGACAGTATAGACTATTTGCTTCGAAAATATGGCACTTATTCATATGAAGGCGTGTTGTAGTGTCAAAGGAATATCATGAACAGCCTTCTTCTCTAATGTCATCCTCCAAGCGCCTTGAAGCATTTGGTACATTGGTACAGAAACTTTGTTCATAGTGGACCAAAATTGCTTTCAATTAATCAGATGTCATGTTAGTATTAAGCTAGTTTGGACATTGATTGAAAACCAGTAAGCAATCTTGCATCTGGGTCACATCCTATATTTAAGGACTTTTAGGCTGAGATTTAGCATTGCCTGCTGTGGAAGCAATTCCCTTCTCTGTTCAATTTGTTTTCATGTCTCTCCCCACTCCATTCCTCCAGATACAAGGAAAATGCAGTTCGAATATCGCAGATTCATCACGACCAACCCATAAAGCCACTGGACCGGGCTGTCTTTTGGATTTAGATTGTCATGCGCCACAAAAGTGCCAAGCACTTGAGGGTCGCTGCACATGACCTGACGTGGTATCAGTATCACAGCCTGGACGTCATCGCCTTCTTGATAGTCTGTATAGCACTTTTTGTGTTCATTGTTGTAAAATGCTGCACATTTTGCTGTCGAAAATGTGGCAGCATCCGAAAGAAAACCAAAAAAGAATAGTTTTAACCTTTTTAAAAAGAAATAAAATTATTAGCCATCATTGATTCTTCCAGATTGAAATGCATCAGTTGAGAAAATATGTATGGACCTTGCTCAAGGTAGCATTTGTTGTGTATATTTAGTGAAGTGACTCTAAATGATCAGAGGGTATGAAAGCAGTTTCGTAAAGTTCCTTTTCTGAGTAAGATAAAGAATGATTGAGTTCAGGTGAAAATGATTAATTTTTTAAAAGAATTCTTTCTGTAAACAGGATTAATTAGGGCAACCCTATATCTGAGACTGATAATATAGCACAACACTTGCTTATATGGATGGTGCAGGAGTCTCTACATATCTTGCAAAATAAAAACGAGTATATAGCCCGTTGCACAATCTTTTGACAGGGCAGGGACATATGAGATATTGGCTAAAACCCTGTTGCTTAACTCAAGTGATGAGTAGGCCTACTAAATTAGTCAGGAGTTGGTGAGTCAGCTCCTCCATAAGTTCTATTCATTCAATGAACAGAACTTATGTTAGTTGCCATAATAATGTAGCAACTCACTATTGCTATGCATCAAGATGTCTGCCAATATTTGTCTGGGGTGATTTTATAATGCATGGAAAATAAAGAAAATCACAGATATTAGGCAGGTCTGAGATTTCTCAGAATCAATGGAACTAAAATGCAAATCAACAGTTCATCAGCTAATATCAAGGAACAATTGTTAGAGTTTGCATGTCCCCTTGTTTTGCGCTGCAATTGGATGAAAGGACAGACATAACAAAGCGATCTTACTGTACTAGGTTAGATAGGAGCATGAGAACACATACTGGGTTAGATAAGAGCATGAGAAAACAGTTTTTGAAAACATACTATTCATCTCCTTGTTAGTATACACTACAGCTGAAGAAGTATTTAACAGCTTAAATGAATTTATAACATCTCATGACATGGATCTATTGAAATGCATTGGAATTAGCACAGACAGGGCATGAGCAATGTCTGGAAAGCTTACTGGACTTGTAACATATATTAAGGAAATCATACTGTTGGTGACTTGGTACCATTGTTGCATACACAGGGAATCTCTAGTTGCTAAGAAGATACAGTACCAGAAAAACTAAAGCAGACCTTAAATGAATCTGTCAAAATGATGAATTTTATAAAAAGCAAATCACTGAATTTAAGACTTTTTGGTTAAACGTGACCGTGAACACCATTACCTTTTGCTATGTGGTGAAGTTTGTTGACTATCAAGACATAAAGTTTTGTCTCATTTTTGGGAATTGAGAGACAAGATTATACCTCATGGAGAAGAAATTTCACCTCAGCAATCATTTGACAGATTTTTCCTGATTAGTCAAATTAGCATATCTGTCAGATATCTTCACCTATTTACATATGCTCAACTTAAATCTCATAGAAATATCCATGGATAGTGCTCTGAAATCGCAGTTCAAGAAACAATCCCTTCCAAATTTTGGGGCTCACCTACAAACAGATTTTCCAGAACTATTGAAGAGGGCTACGAAAGTATTGGTACCTTTCGTAATGACATACTTATGTGAAAAATCATTCTCTGCTCTTGATTGTCTTAAAAATACTTCTCCTGAGAAGGGTGGACAAAGGGGTAGCAAAAGTAGCCGTATCCTTTTCCTGCTTAGGCAGAGGGAGGCGGAGGGAGCCCACTGCAGACAGGACTAGGTAGAGATGAAATATCCCCTGGCTGGATGATGTCCAGAGCTACCACCTGAGCCTGGTACAAGACGTCTCCTGAGCTGTGAAGATGCTGCTCTTTTCCAGAGGAGTTTCTCGTGCTGCTGCTCAGACTAGACTTCCCAATACGAGACCTGAGTTTTCAGATGGACTTCTTCCTTCTTCCCCATGTTTCCAAAAGCGTGGGTTAGTCTTTTCGGAGTGCCGGCAAAGGACTCAACCTGGCCAACCCACATTTATCTCAACAAATGGATAACTTATGCCCTTGGGAGAATTTTGGCCCCTGAGCCTCAGTATCCCCCAGTTTGAAATATTTACTGGATGCTGTTCTAACTGGCATCAGGATTCCGAAGGGTCCCTCCCCCCACAGTGGCCACTCCCTCCCATACATACTTGCTAAGCTGCCTCTGCCTGCAGCCCCCTCCCTATATCTCTGCCCCCCCCCAATCCTCTGGCACATGGAAGACTACTATGGCCGCTATGTTTTCTAAGCTCCTTGGAGTCTTGAGCACAGACATGGGGGAGGAGCCTGGGAAAAGTAAGTGATCAGATGTTTCTGAACCTCTTCATTTCCCTCTTCAGACTTGGTGTTGTGTGGTACCCCATGATGATAAGAAAGAGAGAACCTTTCAACTGAAAGGAAGCTGGGTCACTTCTGGAGCTATGGTGAGACTCCGAAGTCCCTCATGGAAAAGAAGAAGGCAAGGGCCTCCCTCTACTGAGGAAGTAATGTGATGATGCATTCACTTTTTGGACAATGCTGTGAGAGCTTATACAATATTGGGGATTGGTCCAAACACTACCTCAAAGGCTTTGGAGACTATATTTATGTTAATGTCACTTAAAATCACATTGGCCTTTTTTGCAGCAACATCATACTGTCGGCTCATATTCAGCTTGTGATCTAAACAATTGCAAGATCCTTTTCACTGGTAGCATTACTGAGTTTTAGTGTAGATATAAACTGAACAGGGCCTGAATATAACCAGAGTAATGACTGAAATGGATGGAGTGACTGTTCAGAAAACTGGAACTAGTCTTGTCGGGGCTGGCAGACTTGCTCCTTTCTCAGACTTAAGTGCCCTTTATGTACGCAGTCTCCTATCCAAAGCAGAAGATGGCTCAAGAGCAAGACATAACATGAGCGTTACAAGTTGCAGAACAAATTACCTGATGTAGAAACGTCAAGCATTGTGATGGAAGAACAAGAGCAAAGGGTGGTAGAGATGGTAATCGTACTCACCTTTACCTGGCAGTAAGCTCCATTGTGAAGGAATCGGCAGCTATAGGAAGTTAACATAAAGTTTTTAAAACCTGTGAAATGTCCAAGCTGAACCAGCCCAGTCCAAATATTTTGAGACCAGAGTAAGAAACTGTACTGTAGAGCTGTCTTGAGATTATAAAAACACATCATGACCTTGGGACTGGGGAAGGGGGAATAGACTCTTGATGAGTCCTTGCACCTGAACAAAGCTAATTAAAAGAACTTGGCTGGTACAGCTAGGGCCAATTAAAAGACACAATGTGATTGGTGGAGCCCTGAAGACTGTTGATAAGGGGACGATGTAAGATATAAGGTAGAATGTAACTAGTTAGAAGAGTTTCATCGCCTTGAAAGGATGACTTAGGCCAGGGGTACCCAAACTTTTCAGTATGAAGGCCACATCATATATTTTACACGTTTTCAAGGGCCAGAGGAGGGAAGGGGGACCCAAGCAATCCCCCACCCAGCTGTCCTTGCAAAGAGATGAAAAGAGAAAGGGGACACAGGGTGAGGGTGGGAGGAGCAGGGGCAGGTGGCTGAGGGATGGGCAAGTGAGTGAGCCATGGGGGGGGGGCTTTCATTTTATCTGAATTTATTTTTAGTTCTGGCTATCTGGTATATCTCTGTAGCAGAAAGCAGGAAACTTTTTAAAATTGTATTTATTTAGATCTAGCTCAAAAGATTAAACAGCAGTGCCCAGCCTAATTATGTTTGAATGGCACCCTCTTCGTTTTTTAGCTGGGGGCAGAAGAAATTGGAGATTGCATCCACAACTTTTGGATCTTGGCAACCAAACAATTGGTTGCAGCACCTCCAACATATGGGTCACAAAGTGCCTATGGTTTGGGAACTAATACAGCTCCTTGCAATCTTCTATAACATCCTTTACATGGGGAATTTGGAATGCAGGTGGAGTCTTGCACCTCCCAGCTGTCTTTCCTCTGATCCCTTCCAAAGTAAGCCTCTTCAGGAGTGTTCTGTGGCTCAAGTTTGGCCTCTAGTGGTGGATAAAGGGAAATGCAGGTCACACTGCAGCTGTAGAGGCATTACCCTTGGCATCCTTTGTAACCACACCCTCAGCTACAACAGCAATCTTACCCTTTTTGTATCTAATCATTATTAGTACACTTTAAGGGATCATTCCTAATAAGGCTCAAGTAAACAGGAGACTTGCTCCTTTTTGCCGGATGGTTTTAAGGGTCTCTGTGTGTGCTCAGATCAATCTAGCCTTGTCTTAGTTGGGTTTATGGTCTTAATTAGTTTTAGTTGACTCTTCTCTTTTTCCAGCATGAGCCATTAATAGGCAGTGTCTTGTCATTTCTCTTTCAACAAATTCCATGTGTGTATCCATCCCAGACCACCAGACATAGTGTCTGGCCAGTGCTTGAAAGTGGACATCTGCATGGGAGGTGTGGTGCAATCTCTGAATCGTCTGATGTACTGACTCTGGAATTATAACTTGACTTGCTCTTCAAATGCAAAGTTTCTTTGAAGTCGGATATTTCTCTCTGTTCTAGGACAACACAATAACCATTGGTAGAATAACTATTGATTATAACAATTAAAACTAGTGGTCAAACTCTTCTTTGTTGTTGTTAGCGAGCTGTCAGTTTGCTTCTGATCCATGGTGTCCCTATGAATGAACAGGCTGGATAACTTAGTGATTTAAGCATCTGGCTATGGAGCCAAGATGAACAATCCCATGATGTATGAGAGAATTTCATTTCTAGTTTACAGAGTAGCAGGTACAAAAAAACAACTGCACAGAAAAAGCATGAAATAGCTTGACTCAGTAGCCCACACCTTTTCACAATGGCCAGCATTTTATATGGTTAAAATCACTCCGGAAGCATTTTAAGTGGGAAAAAAAGATCTTTATTTACATTTGCTCTCTATAGTTACTCAGCAGAAAGCTAGGGAAAATGGGGTCTCCACACATGGAAGAGCCCCCCTCCGTGGTTGGAGATCAGGAGAGAGACTAACAAGCAAATGAAGCCAAGCAAACAATCAGGAAAAGAGGAGAGGGAAATCAAAGGCAGGAAGAAGAAATTTACCAATAGGTTAGTCAGAAATGTGA